CTCATCATCATTATCTGTCACGTGGGAACCTCCTGAAAAAGACAAAAGAAATGGCATTATCGTCAATTATACCGTGTGTATCTCACATGAAGAAAGTAAACCTTGCTTTAAAGAACAAACTACAAAGGAAAACATGTTAGTTATCGCAAGTTTGAATGCCTCAACAAAATATTATGTTCGTGTTCTTGCAAGTACTAAAGTTGGTCGTGGACCATACAGTGAAAGTAGAGGGAAATTTACAAATGGAAGTAAGTTTTCTCTCCATTGAGCGAAGCCTTGCAACCTTGATTCTTTTGGTACCTTTATTCATACCCATTCATGTTATCTGTATGACTCAAACTTACAATAAATTGGAATCAACGCAAAAAACTGGTATATGTTGATTTTAGCTTAGATAATTAATTAATTAGCCTTACTCTAGCTCTCTGCCCCTAGATGTATTAAATAATTGCTACATATTTAACGAATTGATATTTTTCTTTTTAGAACAACCAGAAATGGCCATAAATGGAACAGAAAGTACACTAACTTTCCCATTGCAGATTCCCTCACACAATTTTACGTAAGTTTCGTTATGACGTTACTTCATTGGCAATGATGAATCTGAAGATGAGATACATTTTATTGGTGGTTGTGTATTACATATAAGGTTCCGTATTTTGCAAGATGGTTTCCATTACTCAAAACTATATTTCACAATTGGACATACAAAAAAACCTCACTGGAAAAGGTTTCAGTTTCGTAAGTAGTGTCTAAGGTTCGACACAATATGAGCTCCAAAAAGACACAAAAGTCACACTGAAACCTTCTTGCAGTAACGACTACCTACTGTGGAATCCAATTTTACATAAGAGTACATGCAGTCTAGTGTATTTGATATTCATCTATCATATATGAATATTATTTTAGGCATTTTTACGTCGTGGCTTTGAAATTAATATACAGCCAGCATCGATCTCCAGCAAGTTATGAAAACAATGTGTTAGTAACGTACGCTGAGGCAGAACAATCAGCCGACCCGAAACCTTACATCGCTGCAATACTAACATCAAAGGATGGAAACATGTTTATACTTGGTGATGGCAGAAATACAAGTAATCCAACATCACGAAGACGCAGATCAACCTCGAGTGATTATTATAATGGTCCGCTGGAGCCTGGCACTAGTTACAGTATTTTTCAAAGGATTTTTATTAACAAGGTAAAAAGTTCTAAACGATGTAAACAGACTACAAACATTGACTGACAAAATACCTTAAGTTACCACCACAACTGATAACTGACGAACGATGAAGCAGCACTTTAGTAAACACATCCACCACACTGACAACTTTAGCCATGACATTGCTCTGTTCGTTATTATGTCATTCTAGGGTGATTATTACTCCACAGATTGGAGCCTTGCTTCAAAAACAGTCCACGACGTCACAATATCACCAGTTCCACCGAACGGTCCAGGTACGCTTAAGAATTTTAAGGACTTAGGTGGACTTATAGTGCAATATCTTACTTTATCACGTTTGAATTTAACTGAATGGAGATTACTAGATTCCAACATAAATACGTAGATTACATAATAGTAAAACCTTAAACAGAAATAGTGTCCCTGAATATTGCATGTTTATATCTCGTGTATTCTTGGAATTCACTGTGTTATCTTTATTCCCTCATAGGCGGCAGTGGAGGTAATAGCGGTAATATTGGCACTATAGTTGGTGCAATAGTTGGCGTCTGTGTTCTTCTTATCCTGGTTATACTGGCAATAATTATGTTCAGAAGGTAATCACGTTGAAAATCAGAATAAAATATATCCACTGTGTGTACCAACTGTCACCCATTTTTTACTATAATCTTCTTCTTAAAGCCATACAAATTTTGTCATCCTATATTTCAGACGAAAGGGTAAGCAACACTCTGAACCAGGATATCAGCATCAGGAAGAGGTTGACAAACGAAGTGGTCCCCCGGTGATGAATGATGCATTTTGTGATTCCAATGATTCTCTTGACGTGAAACAGAATGCTAATGATGGTGACGATACAGTTGATGATAGAGTCGAGGTAGAAGTCAACAACACAGATCCTGAAACTGGTGATGTTTATGCCAATAAAGAAAGTGAGTCTTTGGAACAAATTTATCACATCTGATACTTTTAATAGACTGTCTATAATACTTCGTCTTAAAAATTATTAGGTATAGCTGCGCGAGTACACAACCCTATTCCAGTAGAAGAATTCAACGATCACGTGAACAATCAGAGAAAGAACAATAACAAAGAATTTAAGCTGGACTTTGAGGTGCGTCTCTAAGGATTGTTTTTTTAATTCAACTTTTGAAGCAAAATGTCTTCATTAGCAAGTTAGTAGGCACTACTAACGTCCAGACGTAGGGTCTTTATTCGTAATGTCAAGGTAGTTTCTTCAAGTAATTCAGGCTTAAACCACAGCAGCCACAATAATATTCTACGATGCTTCCATTTCAAATTTCAGGACTTACCGACCGGTCGTATTTCCAACTGGGATATTGCAAAGCAATCATTCAACATTCCCAAAAACAGATATGGAAACGCAGTAACATGTAAGTTAGATTTGATATTTCGATGTCCAATAAATTAAGTTCGTTTATGGAAATAATTACCAAATATATTTCTTGGTTATTTTAGATAATCACTCACGTGTCATACTGTCTGGCAACGAGAAAACAGACTATATTAATGCCTCGTTCATCGATGTAGGTTCAAACATGCATGGAGAAGATTAATGTGTTGTTCACATAAAGATTTTTCAACAGTTTTGTTTGATCACTTTTTATAACTTTTTTTGCAGGGATTGGCTGAGAAGTATTACATCGCGACACAAGGTAATGTGTAAAAGACGCATTTGACTCGAGCTGATGACATTGTAAACTCCATGTCACTGTAGCAGTAGTACATTTCGTCTTGGCACTCGTGCAATTATTGATATATCGTTTCATACAAAAAGAAGTATCATTGAAAATTATTCTAAGTTCTTCCTATATTGCTCTTTCCAATGCAATCTCGTGAGGTTCAACATGTTTTTTGTTTTCTTAGGACCAAAACCCAAAACAGTGAATGACTTCTGGAGGATGATCTTTGAACACAAATGTCCAACTATTGTCATGTTGACGACATTGAAGGAAATGGGAAAGGTTGTGTATGAAAGAATATAGATGTAGAGAGGTTAAACCCATTTCATTCATTTCGTTCATTTCCACACATCCTCCACACACTTCAGTCTTGGTTGGTGGCGGTACTTCGCTCTACATCTTTCTTCTTTCTCCATATTTTTCACCATTGCATTTTCAAATTAACAATTGCCTTGAATGACTTCCTCTTCTTCTTCCACCTTTAGGAACCCATTCCTTTCTTGGAAGACGTGGCCGAACCAAATAAGCCTCTCTTACTCCTGAATTTCTTTGTCAAAAGTCTTCTCGCTTCCTAATCTTCATGAGACAGAGTCTTTAATTCAATATATCCATCAAGAGTATGTTTTCAAAATTGTGCAGAATTAAGAACAGGGTTTTTCTTTACACGTCTCTTTCTTCTTGACAGACAAAGTGTGAGAAATATTGGCCTGAAGAATCTGGTATGTATGGAGATATTAAAGTGACTTCCACAAAGACAAAAACATTTGCTGATTATGTTACTCGGACGTTTATCGTCGAGAAGGTAATGTTAGTTTTTAAATTAATTTACTTCCAAAATTTATACAGATTAATGGAATGAACATAAGCACAATCTAACTTTGCCATTAACTGAAAGAAGATAAACTTTTCAAAGTAGGGAACATTATTTTTATTTAGGGTGGTGAACAGCGTGGAGTGCAACAATTCCATTTCATGTCATGGCCAGACTATGGCGTTCCTCTCTATCCAACACAGATCTTGACGTTCAGAAGACATTTTAAGTCTTTTCACGAGACTAAAACCGGGCCAGCTGTGATTCATTGCAGGTAAGGCATGGTGACAGTCCATTGGATACATCAGGAAAGACAGCAGGGGTGTAAAAAAACTGGAAAGGAATTAATTTAGCATAAAGAGAGAAAACAAGAAAGTAAGAAAAAGGGAAGACCGAAGGTAAAAAGGAAGACAGGACAATAGAATCGAAAAATAGATGAATAGAAAGAAGCAAGAAAATAGGATACTAAACATTCACCAAAGAATATCGTTATAAAAGATTGTATTTTCATTTTCCTCGCAGTGCTGGGGTAGGTCGTTCAGGAGTGTTCATCGCTGTGGACAAAATTTTGGATGGTCTTGACAAAGAAAAGAAAGATTCCATCGATATCTTTGGTTTTGTGAAGGACATGAGAACAAAACGTGTCAACATGGTGCAAACTCCGGTAAGCAATTGTCAGATTGTTTGGAATCAAAGTTTTCTTCAGAACTCTCGCAAGTCTATGACATTCCAGTAACAAATAGCCAGTCTGTAGTATGTGCACGTGTCCATGGCCCTGTACTAAATACAAATTCACTTGGTAGCAGATGAATCCTGCACACTCAAAGTGTCATTACATTACCCATCCCTTATCCACTTTATAGGACCAATATGTGTTCATTCATGATACAATCGTTGATCACCTCAACTGTGGAGCAAATGAAGTTGAAGCAACTCAGATTACGTTTGAGATTAAAAATTTGTTGAAGAGAAACGACAAAGGCGAAACAGGATTTGACGAGAAATTTAAGGTACGTTAAGTACGGGATATTGTCATCTTTTTGTACTGTGCTAAGACTCACTGCTACAGCCTGTACCAACCCAGAAAACATACAAACGATGCAAATTAATGTTTTCTACTGTCTTATACAGCGTTTGAACACAGTCACACCACAGTTGGTGAAAGAGAAATGCGAAGCTGCACTTCTGGATGAAAACAAAAAGAAAAACAGAAAGGCTGAAATTTATCCAAGTATGTAAGAAATGAGTTTCCAAGTTCCATATTTAGAAAATTTTTTTCAACTTTACAATCAGGAAGTTATAAATTCACATTTTGAACAAATAACAAGGTACAGGATGATTGCTCCATTACATCTCTTAATTGATATACCGTACACAATATTTTTCCAGCTGAATCTGGTCGTCCATATCTCAAACATATTGAAAATGTTGAAAACTCGGATTATATAAATGCTTGTTACGTTGATGTAAGTGTGTTAATGACAATTTATTTTTATTTTTAAATACGTGGTTATGCGTTTATCAGCGTATAGATTGGAAACATTTTTGTCAATGCCACAGGCTGCCTTTGTAGCCAATTTTTTTAACTGTATCGTCAACACTAATTTCTTATTCTTTTTGTTTTTGTTTTTCAACCTCATTAGGGATATCTTGGCAAGAGTTACTTTATTGCAACGCAAACACCTCTTCAGGAGACAATTAATGATTTCTGGAGGATGGTACTTCAACATAAGTCCTCGACAATAGTCATGTTAAATCAACTACGAGAAGGTGACGAGGTTGGTGAGCCTGCATTGCCTGACTTTGCAGGCTTGGAATACATAGATATTCTGGCTCTGTACTGACTCTGTTAAGGCTTTCATAACTTGTGGCACTGGTCTTTGGAATCGAAATGTGAGGTCTAGCCCTTGAGGACCCCGGGTCATTACAGGAATTAGAGTGGACCTATTTTCGTCACTATTGTGTGACTCCCTTGCCTCATGAAGATGTACATAACCAACATTTCTGCCTTCGTTTTAGGAATACCCGATGTTCTGGCCAACCAAAAGAGCTACACCTCAGTCGTTTGGACCCAGTACAGTAATGTTAGACTCATTTGTGAAGAAAGAAAATATTGTCATCAGAAAATTCGTTGTTTCTCCGTCAGTTGTAAGTATACACTTGAGAATAGAGGATCTCAAGTCTCAGCCAGTAACTTATTCCAAACCTGCTGAATCAGCAATAATAATAAACCAGCAGAATTAATAAACCAGCAGAAATAATAAACCAGCAATCTATTCTCTCAGGATTTGAAAGAAGGTCGTATGGTGCGATTGATTCAATACATGACCTGGCCAGACCATGGAGTGCCAAAAGATGTTGATGACATTGTGAAAATTTTGTCTGAAGTTGAAGAATCTCAGAGGGCGGCGGAGAAAAAAGGACCTGTCACTGTCATTTGCAGGTAATAATTAACCAACTTAATAAATCAAATAAAAAGACCGTCTATGAATCGCCAGTTAATTAAGAAGCAATCAACCAAATAATTTCCAATCAATCTAAGCAATGAACTACTTTTCCTCCAGTGATGGTGCGGGAAGAAGTGGAACCTACATCGCAATTTCTAATCTTGTGGACAGAGTGAAAGTTGTTCAAGTCATTGACGTCTTTCAATGTGTTAAATTGATCCGCACCAAGCGCCCACAGTTTGTTGAAACAGCGGTAAGTTATGATAAGATATTTACAGTCTTTAGATCTTTGAAGGAAGCTGTTAATGTTACCGGTATATAATTCTACTTACAATGGGGGGTCACCTTTAACCAATTAAGTTGCATTGTCTTCTTCCAGACAATTTTACTCGTCAAGCCGGTTTTTCACTACGCGGAATTTTTCTGTCTTTGCCAAGTAATTCCACCCGAAAAATCACAAGACAAAGAAAAAATCCGCTCCGCGCGGACCAGCTTCACGGGGAGAGCGCTGCCGCTCAAATAAGTAACTAATTGTGCTTTTTACTTCTCAGGCTCAATTCAAGCTGTGTTATGATGCAGTTACAAGTGTGTTGAGATCATTCAACGAATATTCAAACTTTGAATCCGAAGTTCAAAATTACAGTACTTCATTCGTTGGTTGACATCCTTATCTGAAACTGGCAATGAAGCGAAGATACAGAAACATTGTATCAATTTACCTACATACCTTCTAACATACTATTGTAAACATTTGTAGATCATTAAATAGAAGTATTACCACTATAACGGTCTTATAACGGTCAGCCCTGCTACTGGGGATTAAGGGCTAAACCCAAAATTGTAAATTTAAACATTTGTATAGCTTAGGAGGAAGTAACTCTTCAAAATTTTGGAGATGTTGTACACATAACTAGAATAAATTTTATAGATAGGTTTTAGGAATTTCCGTCTGCAGGGGTGTAGGAAGCGCGATAAACTTGGGGGGGGGGGCACTTCCACGAGGCAGCATTGAAAAGTTTAAAAATTTGAAGTCCCTTGATCATTGGTCCGATTGAGTCACATTCTACTTCCTTTGCTAGGCCTTTTCATTAATTCTTTTATGTATAAGATATTGTGGTGGCTCCCCTGTTTCCTACACCCTTGTCTGTAGATACACGGATTGAATAATTTTAAATTATATTGTACTTTCATATTTACTTTCATATTTAATAGCAACATAACTGTTATATAGTGACAATTAACAATTTTTCATGTATCATAAATACATTGCTTTCATATATTTTTGAGGTGTGAACATTTAATTAATATACTGAATAAAATTGGTCGAAATTTTAAAACGGAGTTCTGGCTTTTGAAAACGGAGTTTTGGCATTTGAAAACGGAGCTCTGGCATTTGAAAACGGAGTTGTGGCATTTGAAAACGGAGTTCTGGCTTTTGAAAACGGAGTTCCTACTTTTTAAAACGGAGTTCTGGCTTTTGAAAAGGTAGTTTTGGCGGTAGTTCTGGTATTTGAAAAGGAAGCTCTGGTATTTGAAAAGGGAGTTCTGGCTTTTGAAAAGGTAGTTTTGGCATTTGAAAAAGGAGTTCTGGCTTTTGAAAACGGAGATCTGACAAACAGACAGGCAAACTCCAGTGAACATAGACCATGCCTGTAATCTGTATATTTAGTTTTTTTGCAGGTAGCCAAATTTTCAGTCAGCCCTGCGTGGTCCAAACTTGAATTGTGACAGGGGACCAGGCACTGAAGAAATTTTTTTGAGTTATATTAAATGTTTCATATTGTCAAAATTGAGTGTCCACTAATTTGCTCAAACCAAATTGGTAGAAAATCTTCATATATCAAAGTCGACAAGATTGTCGGCTGATGAATAAAATTTGGCCACAGACCAGGAAATATTTTTAAATTTTTGATGGCATCATTTGATGAACTTAGGTCTTGACTCTCGAGTACAAATTCTCTTAATTATTAAATCTGGTCCGGTAAATATTGCAAAATGTATTTGGAAAGATTGAAATTTTCTACCTTACTTAATCATGCATAAGACCTTCTGACCAAGGATTGCAGTTAGCTTCAGGCACTTGCAGGTAGAGTTTCATGGAGACAATACTATTTCCAGTCTTTCAAGTGCAAGCAGTAAATGCACAAACATTTAACCATGGTGTTAAGCTGGCCAGCTTTGTGTTAACCGTGCAGACAAAAACAATAGGAAGGGACTGGAACAGACTTCCAATCATTTCAATGCATCCGATAGCTCTTCAATTTCTGCCACTTGTGCAAGTGTGCTGAAATTTTGTATTTTGACATCGATTTAAAGAATAACACTATTCTTGGTTTGCAATTGATGTCATGGCGGCCATGTTGGGGGAAAGCTTAAACAAAAGAATCTCATTAACAGCTATTGTTTTCCAACATGGCCGCCATGTCTTTGTCTTGCAAATCTTGAGAGATTGATCAATAGCTGAAGTTACGCCAATAACGATACAACCCTACATCAGATATCTCCAGAAACTTCTCATGGAATCCACCATGGAATGGCCGCCATCTTTAAGCTTCACTTTTCTCATCTAGGCCAAAATATGACTGAAGCTTCGTCTTGCTGTCCCAAACATGGATATGTAGTTATTCAAAAATAAATATATGAGCAGTCAACTACAGAGAAAAGTCAAATTTTCGCCAAACTAAGACGTTTCCTGCTTTAAAGATTGGAGCAAGCCTTAAACAAGAATATTTTCTCATAAAATATCGTCAAGAAAAGAAGTAAAACAGTACAAAATATAAAAATATAAAGCTTTGTACCTTTCGTACAAGAAACCAACAGCGGTTGGTTTCACGTCGCCTTCATCTTTTCCAGTCGTTTTATCGCCTTGACTAGCCATGTTCTTTGACAAGCAAAACATGTCAATACTTAAAAAATTCTTTAAAATATTTTTACTAAAACACGGCGCCATCACAGGATCAGGATTCAGGATCAAACTTTTGTCAACTCGCACTCTGCCAGCTCGCATGGCTCGCACTGGCAGGATTGGCGCGAAATTTTTCTGCACCCTGATTGGCTGAGGTCCACGCATGCGCTAGATCTACCCGAGTGTCAGTCGATGACTCAATGCTAAAAATAACAAATAAAGCTCAAACAATATCACTTACTCGAACCGTCCTGACCGCGTAGCTCAGTTGGAAGAGCATTGGGCTAGTATTC